CGATATATCCGCGCTTCGAGGATCCCGATACGTCAAAGGTTCCAAAAGGAGAAGCGTGCAGGTTATTTCGGGAACAGACGCCTCCCCTCCCCTCCCCTCTCCTCCGTTCCTCTCGGTCGCGTGTTCCTGTGCGCATTCGCTGGCGAAGCGGAATCAAGCGGAGTTGCTAGTTTCTCGAGTTCCTCGAGATCCTCTCGCATTCCTTGCCATCCACCGCTCCGTTCTCGAGTGTTTCCGCGCGTGTGGATACGCTTCTGTTTAAGCGAGGAATGGCGGCGAAGGAAAGGCTAGGATAAATTAAGGATAGGTTAAGGTTTGTCGAGCTTTTAAATTCGGATACCGATTCTAAAGTTGGGCTACTGTTTTTTTTTTCTTTTCTTTTTTTTTTTTTCCGCAAATGCTCGACTCGAAGAGAATCGCACGAGAAGTTCGTCAAGAAGCGCGCGTGTCTTTAAATATTGCGGATGACGAGATGTCTTTTCTTCTTCTTCTTTTTTTTTTTCCAAATGCTCGACTCGAAGAGAATCGCACGAGAAGTTCGTCAAGAAGCGCGCGTGTCTTTAAATATTGCGGATGACGAGATGTCTTTTCTTCTTCTTCTTTTTTTTTTTCCAAATGTTCGACTCGAACTGAGTCGCACGAGAAGTTCGTCAAGAAGCGCGCGTGTCTTTAAATATTGCGGATGACGAGATGCCTTTTCTTCTTCTTCTTTTTTTTTTTCCAAATGTTCGACTCGAACTGAGTCGCACGAGAAGTTCGTCAAGAAGCGCGCGTGTCTTTAAATATTGCGGATGACGAGATGCCTTTTCTTCTTCTATTTTTTTTTCTGAGATCTTTTTAAAATGTCGAGCTATATACTTTATATATAGCGTAATGACTAGCATGGCAGCGTATTAAATTTTAATATCCTCATTGTGCTCGTCTTTCTAACGTGCACGTTACGGAAACAAAATTGCATCGTATCAAATTATTTTGGAATTACAAGAATAATCTTAATTTGCTGCTGATGGAAGCGTGATTAAAGCGCGATTAAAGGGATGGGATCGAAGTTAATGAAGAAATATGCCTTTACTCCTCTGAGAGTGAATCGAAAAGGGTTCATCGCGTACAAAAATACGAATTTCAACCCCTTACAGTTGGTTGGTTCGAAGCCGATCCTGCTGCGGTTTTCAGGTTAAAAACGGATGATCTCCGGTCGCTGTAATTGCACGTTTCGAATCCCGAGATGTTTGCAATCAAATTTTTCAATCTGTATTTGCTCAACGGGGCGATACTAATATTTCACGAGAGGAGGAAGCGATCTGAGAATCCAATTTACACGGAATCGGGTAAAGTGGATGAACCGTGATCCTTGGACTCTGCCAAACAAGACTGTGCGTCGAACGAACAAATATAATCTATTTAATCGACTTACTCGCGATGAAATTTTGGAGTTAGCCTCTTATCGGGGCAATTTTTCAAACGAACGAAATTATCCAGAAGTTGTTAAATTAAATTAAAAGAAAACAACGATTTAAATTATTTATTTTCTATAATAACTAAATTAAGTCAGACTAGCGATTCTTTTTTAAGAAAATTCCTAATTTTTAAAATCTTCTTCTGAAATTTGAATATTTTCATTTTAGTCTCTGAACTTTTTTACCTAAATTTTTGACTTAAACTTTTTCTCCAACTTCCAACTCCAACTTTTTAAAAAAGTTTTCCCAGGAAGGGGGGAAAAAAGTTCTCGATAACCCCCTTTCGAAAAAATTCGACACGAATAATTCGATACACCCTCGAACGAAACGGCCTGCTCGTGTTTTCAGGAGTACCGTACGCGGAACCTCCTGTCAATTTCTTGAGATTTTCGCCACCGAGATCGCCGGAGCCGTGGCGCGGCACAAGAGAATCGCAGGAATTTGCACCCGTCTGCCCCCAAGTGGTGCCAAAATTGCAGGACGAGATGAAGCCGGTCAGATACGAGTATCTCGAGAGGCTGCTGCCGTACCTGAAGAACCAGAGCGAGGACTGTCTCTATCTCAACATCTATACGCCCCATCAAGCCGAAGGTAAGCGGACTGAGATTAATTGTTTCGAAGATCGGTGACAGTTCGTGATCGAGTTCCCGCTCGGTTGGGGAGCAGCGTCTACTCGCTTCAACGACGACTCGTTCTATCGATCAACTCTGTTAATGCAGTTTGCTACGATCGCTCGGAAAATACACGGGAGAAGCTCGATGTTAAAAATAAATACGATGGAATCTGTATCTGCGCTCCCGCGAGTAAATCGCATGCACCAGGAAAATTAAAATAGATTTTTAAATTGCAGGATCGTCGTAACGATTAAAGAACTCTTTTATAATAATAAAAAATCTGAAATGAAAAATCTAGAGAGAAAATTGTTGTTGCTTAAAATTAAATATGCCAAAAAAAGAAAAAACTGTTTCTTTAAACGAATGGGGAGGATTTAAGAGATTATGTAAATAAATAAGAGGGGAGTTAACAAATTTAGCTAGCATCCTATGGTTAATCAAGTATTAAAATGTCAGATCAAATGGGGATCGGTATAAAATTTACGATCTCGAAGAATATATATCTCCCTCTTTACGATCCTCGTATTATGGCTGTTAGGTAATGCCGAAGAAGGATTCGCGACCACGATAATACCGTGGACTATGTGAATATTTAGATCGGGAAAAGATAAAAAGAAGGGAGGGAAATTCGTAGCTGTAAACAGGCGTGATCCAAAGCCGTTTTATTCTTGACTCTTTGCCAGGAAAATAAAAGGGGCGGAGTGTTCTACGGAGCGAAAAACCTTTACCTAAAAGACAATTAGAGAACAGGATACTTTTAGCCGCGTTTCATCTACTTTCGGTGTAGCCCAATTTCGTATTTAACTTTCTTCACGTTCAGATTTTGACTTTTGTACACTGTCCTGTCTTCTTGAATCGTGTTTAATCCGTTCTTGGCAATTAATCTCAAAACTCGTGAACAAAAACTCGGTTTCCATCATCCATCTAGTTCTGAATAATATAAATAGAAAGAAAAAGAAAGAAAAAATTGCGAAAGGCAAAAGCTTGCAGATTCATTTTTGAACGAAAACTTTTAAACGATATATAACGTTATATTCATTTTCAAAACTTGTATTTTCTGAAACGAGTCTTTACAGCATTACAGAGAGAATTTTTCATTTATAAACGCGTTTTGATATATCTCTGTTGACTGGACAATGAAAACAATAAATAAAATGTACGGATTTAGCTGAACGAATATATTTAATTATACGTAATTGCGCGTGTCTGTTTACAAAATATTTGAAGTGTGCGTATCGAAGATAAACAAATACGAACTATGAAATAGTGGTGCTGCTGGCAACATTCGATAATAAAACTACAAATAAAATTTCAGTCAAATAAAATTTAACAATTCTATAACAATTTCGAATACCTTGCTTCGATATCGAATATTTCCAGAATTTCTAGATAATTCCAAACTTAATCAAAGCCAGGTTTCAATTCGCTTCTTTCTCTTCCTTTCTCGTCCTTTTTACGAAACTTTTTTCTTCTTCTTTTTTTTTTTTTTTGAATTTTATCTCTCCTTTCTTGATTGCGATACATTCATATTTTTTCGGTTTATTAAAAAGTGAAAAAAAAAAAAATAAAAAATGGAAAAGAGAGTCAAGTCCATGAGATTTCTGCCGATTCAATCACGGTTTTCCGGGATTGGCCCAGTGCGGTTGGTTACACGAAATACGCGCATTCGGACGATACCTTTTGTCGACAATTTTGTTGCATTCACGAGCGTGATAGATGCATCAAATGCACGCGTTGTTTTCGCTGAAATGAATCGAACACGCGCGTAACATTTTATTCGACTACATTTCACGATTCTGTATATCCGTTATATTCGTATTATCATACGAAATGGTGCCTTCGAATCGATAGTTAACTATCTTCGATAAATAATAAGAAATAACATTCAATTTTTCCCATCGAAATCCCATTAGAAGCGCGATATTAAAATTTACGATAAAGGAAGTTGATCGTTTCGCTTTGAACTTCATATTTGATTCCCCCACGATTTCTTTCTTCGAGTTGAGCGTATGCATAGGAGGACGCATCATTGATAAGAAATATTTCAAAAGCTTCGCGCGAAAGAAACCCTGAAATCGATCGTTATCGAACATGTGCGAAGAGAGACAACGGATGGAAATTTAAAAAGGCGCAGAAGAAATAAAAGTTTGTTTATGCATATAAAATAATTTTTTTTTTTAAGTTAACGACTGACTAATCGAATTTTTAATTTTATTTTATTTATACGTTTCTGCATTGTTAAGTATATAATTTAAAATATATATGTTGCATGTTAATTATTCGAATTTACTAGTTCGGTATTCTATTACGAAATCATTACGAATTAATTTATTAAATATTTCATAATTAATACGTTCCAAATTTATTTTCAAATTTCGATGATTTGAAACGTGGTTAAATATTTACGAACAAACTATTCGCTAACCGAAAAACAACCGAAGAGGAAAATTAACCGGATCCCGAAATACGAACATCATATAAATATTTCTATTCTTCTATAAATATAATAGTATAAATTCTATAAATTAAACGAGGAAAAAGAAAACCTATTTCCATGGATCCAAACCAAAAGAGACGAATATATTTAACCGCGAATCGACAAACGTGGATCGGAACGATAACAAAGGTTGACGATTCTTGCGTGCTCGATAGCTCGTGTTCGTGCACCCCCTACTTTTCCTACTTGGTCGAAGCTAATTAAAAGTAATCTTGCGCGTTTGCGACGAGCCGTTAATTAAGGGAGGAAAAACGCGGAAGCCACGGCACCCGATTATCCCCTCGGGGATTACCAGAGATTTTCTTCCCTCTGTTCCTCTATCAACGTCATTGTTTCGCTCCCTTTTCCTCTAAATTCACCTCGCTCCTTCCTCTCGGATAGAGAAGCGTAAAAATTAACCAAAAGACAAGACAAATCTTTTATATATATATATTATTGTGCCTTGTATTCGCGCCGTGAACCTCTTTTCCCCCTTAGATGAGAGACGAAAGATGATAAGAATTGGTTATGATGTCCGACGATTTATACGTGCATACGTGTCCCATCTCTGTGTTTTAAAATTCATTAAAATTTTCTTCTCGACGCGAAAAATATTCGTGGAGGATCGGGTGGAAGATCGCAACGAATATATCGAGGGGATAGGTCTAGTTGATTGGCCAGCGATGAATTAACCTGTGGAATAAAGCACCAATCGAGAGAAGCGGCGAGGCCAAATAATTTTCCATCCAAAGCCAAACATATTTATCAACCGTTCCGGAAGAAAGATTCGGAGGGGTTGTTGGCGGAGTTTCGTAATAAGGGATCATAAATTATACCCGTTATCTGTCCCAGTCAGGGGCTAATGAACGCGAGATCGGACTCCTCGTGATTTTAAAGAGCCCCAAATTTGACTTGGAAATTATCCATCTCCATATTTGTTTCTCCGTGGATCGTGAAACGTGGCTGCGGTTTGCTAAGGAAATTCTTCGATGATCGATAATTTCCGTGGCACGATTTCGAATATTTTCGTGAGTCTATCACAAAAAAAAAAAAAAAAAGAGAAAA